ATTAAAAATCCTTTGTAATAGGTATATATTTAAGGCCCAAACGGGCTAAGTTAAAAAGACAAAACGTTTTCGGAAACCATGTTCCATCATCAGTGTCTACTGATGACAGACATCATCACAGACAGACTAGACACTGATGATGGAACATGGTTTCCGAAAACGTTTTGTCTTTTTAACTTAGCCCGTTTGGGCCTTAAATATATACCTATTACAAAGGATTTTTAATTAAATTTTTAATACATGGTATACAGCCAACTACAGGAACGTAGATTCCTTGTGAATTTTATTTGACGGTATGGTCAACTTGGCTTCTCAGTACATAGACACTGATGATGGAACATGGTTTCCGAAAACGTTTTGTCTTGTTAACTTAGCCCGTTTGGGCCTTAAATATATACCTATTACAAAGGATTTTTAATTAAATTTTTAATACATGGTATACAGCCAACTACAGGAACGTAGATTCCTTGTGAATTAGGAATCAATAAGTTAATGGCTGAATCAATGGATAAAATCAATAAATAAATTGTGATGAAAAGTGACCCTCAGAGATTTATAAAAAATAAGCCATAGAGGCCTACATAAAAAGAATGCACAATTCCTTAAAAATAAGTTACGATATTCCATCTGGACCAAGACCTTTATTGGTATTAAGACACTGTAAGCATGCTAGAATGTCACAAATTTTAATAGTTAAGATAAGAGTAAATATGGCTGTGACTGATATGGGATCTTTGACTACACTTGTCTACACAGGAGAAAGAAGGATTGTGAATACTGCTAAAAAAATTGGCAAAATAGTTGAAACTGTGGCTCACTAAAAACAGAACCATTCAACTTCCCTTATCCATTCCCATTCTGATTTACCTTACAAGTGTGTGGTCGGCAATTGAAAGCAGACAAGTTAATTGTTGAGTTTTAAAGTTGAAATCATAAGTATGAAAAAGATCATTACTTAATATGGAACTTTATTTCAGCAGTAGATACTGTTTTAGGTACCTATTTTTAATAAATAAAACAGTCTCAAAAATTGACTGTTCCTTTCTGTGCACCAACCACACAATTTAATCATTACAAAATTAATCATATTTGCTAATGCAACATGCAAATTAAATTTTATTTGCCTCCTCTTTACATCTCAGATATTTCATTATCAAGTTTCAATTTCCTTCTCCATGGCAACACTGGTCTTGGAGTTTTTTCAGGCAGCATCTGAAAACAAAATTAATGTACTATAATGTAATGTAATAAATTGAACAAATTAATTTCAGATTTAGTTCATTATACTTTGCTTATTGTAAATAAATCATCATTCAAAGGCGTATGATTAAACAACTGAATTTCAAGTGCTGCAGTTTTAATGGATCTCACCTGAACTAGAAGAATACCAACAAAACCATTGGTATTTATTTCTAATGACCAAATGAGCAGTAATTACACTTTGATACTTAAAAAACAAAAATAACAGTGTATAAATAAAATATATACAGCCAACAACAAACCTTCATCTCATATAGCTAAGTGTAGTTCTTAAAGCAATCTCATAGCCAGACCTGAACATTTGTGAAATGGTAAAATTTGCCATCTAAATTACATATAAGACACAGTTAATGATATGCTTCATCGGCTGTATATGGTCACTTAAGTGATAGTGTAAGTTTTTAAATATTCCTTAGATTGATTTATGTTTAACAGTTACAAACCTTTTAAAATCAGAGCTATATGTGTGTCTTCAAAAGTTTTATATTGCTTTTTCCCTAGCCAACTATATTTTCCTTGAATTTTATTGCAGACCAGCTTCTTATGGCTTCTCCTAACAAATTCGTTTATGGTTTCCTCACCAATTTTGGAAAGCTCATTATCCTAAAATATAAATCAACATGTAACAGTAATCTAACTACCCCACAAACTTGATCATCCATGCTTAATTATTTTAGTTTAAACTATCTAATAAAAAAAACAGGCTCTGTTAAAAAATCAAACAAACATTCAGTTGCAAATTTTGGTTTCTCATAACCATGGTAAATGTCTATTAAATTTACAATTTTAGGATATATCAACAAATTATACAAACTATGATAAAACTGACTACTAAAACTCTTTTTTAATGAGATTCCATAAAAATTTACACACATTTCTATAACATTGTTTTATTGTGAAGATAAAAATATGTTTGAAATTTGAATCATATGGATCAGAGTAATTGTTCTCTGGGTGAAGTAAGAAGGGTTCTAGCATCTGAACTTAAATGAGAAAGATCGGGAACTTCTTTATAATTTTTTAATAAATCACCTAGTATTAAAGGACAAAGTCCAGTTGAATAAATTATTAGAAAAATTAAAAACATCTCGATAAGGTTCTCCAGAATTCTGGTTAAAACCATATTTAAACCCTTCTTCAGTTTCATTGAAAAAAAAAGCTTTGTAAGTATCATTGGAATGGTCGGCCACGTGGTAATTTGGATTATTTTAGGCACTTAACATGTTAATAAAAAGTTTAAATCGGAAGTATTGTAACCAGAACTACATGTTTGAACTGAAACTCTCGTCAAAATTATCAGTTAGTGATTCCGAAGAGGTTTGAAGAAGACGGAATATGGGGGTTATTAATATTTTCAACAATATTCTCTACGTTTTTCGTAACCTTCCTCTGTTGATGACGCTTATAAACAAATCGTTTACTTTTAAACATAAACAATTTTAAGAAAAATTACTTACCTTTTTGTAATAAAATAAAAATCAAATTCGGAAATAACCTAACAAAAATGGTACCAAACTTTTAACCATGCACTATTTTAAAAAAGACCAATGCACTGTACACTGCTTAAATAGAGTTATTTTATTTCTTTTATTAAAGCAATAATAATAATAATATTATGATTAAACTGTGCCATTTGTTTAAATTAAATAGGTATGACATGACAATGACAATATTGACAATTAATTTCATCAATCATCACATGTCATATCACATCATTATTTTTCATTATTTTGTCTTTGAAAAGACAAGAGACAATTATTCTGTGGAAAAGATTATCAAGATTCATCTTGTCGATAAAAATCATATTTTTACTTATTAGAATTAGCAAACATATATATTATTATCTTAATAACTAGAATAATAAAACAATTGTAACGAATTATCTAGAAATAAAAGATTTTTACACTTTACCTAAAAACAAAAACATGTTTTGGATATATTAAACTATACAATTTTTAATTAATTGTGATTTAACCTTTTCGCTTTTAATTATTTTATTAACGTAAATAATTTTTTATTTTATTGAAATATTTGCTATTTGATCCCATAATTGGTAAATGTCGGATGTCCAGAAAACGTCCGAGTTCGGACGTCCAGGGAACGTCCGAGTATGGACGTCCAGGGAACGTCCGAGTACGGACGTCCAGAGAACGTCCATATTTGGTCCACCCAAAGTACGTCCCACTTCGTACGTCCATAGTACGTCCATTTTACGTCCAGGGACGTCCGGACCAAAACTGGACGTATATTGGACGTCCATAGGACGTCGTGTGTTACTAGGGATAATATACCTCTCTCTTTTTAAACAGCTGTTTCTCACTCCATCTCACGTAAGGTCCATACCGACCATAAAATTTTTCCTACACTGTATATTTCCCATATCACTGTTCTGTATACACCTTAATCACAAAATATGTATTACGATCGATCCATAAATCTACTTTTAAAATCAAGATTCAATTATGTGGGTCAGATGGTAATGAAAAGCCATATCACTGGTGTGATAAGGTCACAAGTAAATGTTTATACTGTACGTATACAATATACCTACCAACTAATATGGTACAACCTGATTTTAATGGTATTTTTAGTATGTAACTAAAGAAGTCGTTAGATCCGGTGTAGAAATAATCAAATCAAGGAGTATGTATATAATCTACCTATGTGTATCTGTAAGGAGTGAGATGACCATTTTGTAGTACCTTCTGAAAGTCATCTTCAACTTGTTTTTAAAAGCTAATACATTTCCTACTTCTTATACCCATTATTAACATTATTTTTTACCTATTTTATAATAGATCATCACTCCCAAATATAGTTATGGTTGTTAACAAATATGTTTTCACTTAATTTGTTGCTAAAGCCATAAATACTAAGAAGTAAATCAATATAATTTTCATGGACTGTGCAAAAGCATTTGATAATATTGATCATGGCTTATTTGGTACTTGAAAAATTGGGCAGTTTTGGCGATTCAATTAATTGATTTAATTTTTAAAATTCAGTTGATAGATACTAGAAATAAAGAGTAGATACTATTGAGGAACTAAGGAATAATCAGTACCCAATAGTTCCTTAGGACATAGCAACCTTTTCAAAATTTTCCTTATGTTGCTTATTATGTCACAGAATAATAAACAATCAGAATGCCCACTCTACTTGAAAAACTAAGTACACGCATCTCGTTCGCGCAGAGGAAATCAGCCATGTTTTAAACGGAACCAGACAAATTAACCCGGTTTAATTTATTTACGCCAAATTGTTACTTATTCGGTGGTTATGTATTATTATAAGGTTTAGGTAAATAAAGTAGTAAAAGATGTTACGAAATAATAAAATATTACGACTTCCTATCATCGCTTCTATCTTTCCAAAACGTAACATCATAGAATATAGACGCTTCTAAGAGACGCTCAAAGAATATAGAAGCGTCTATATTCTTTAGTAACATTTTGGTGAACGTGAAGGACATTTATACGAATGAGCCTAAAAGTTAGTTGTATTCGCGTCTTTTAATGTTAACTTTTGTAGTCATTCTCCTAATAACTTTATGAAAAATTCTGCATATAATTACATTTTGTTGTGTAAAAAGTGTTTAAAAAAAACTGTTAGGTCGCATTGTTACTCCTTCATTAAAAAAAGAGCTCATAACTTAGCACTTTTTAAATTAAAGATGAATACGAAAAGAAGAAGTTTTGTTTTGTCAAATCTGTCAAGCTTCCCTCAAATCTCAAATTGTATTTTTAGGTTAGCTTCGATGTTGAAAACAAAGTTTTAATAACGAAAAATAACTGAATAAAATGGATAATAATACAAATAGCCCAGATTCTCCAGAGATAAGGGAAGTTAATGTAGTCCAAACGATACAACCGAAAGATGAGCCCCCTGCGAAGACGGCAAAAGATCTCTTTTCTGATTTTAAAGCTTCTGATGAATCTGATTTTGGACCAAATGAGTTTGATGCACACAGCGATAGCGATTCAGACGAACCTCTGTCCAAGAAAATTAAAAAGGCCAAAAAAGGCGAAGGGAAAAGGAAATCTAAGGATGCAGGAAATTATGACTCTGCAAAGAAAAAGGTATATTATTAGTATTATCCTATCCCAATTTACCAAATTTAGATTAACAAAGAGTCAATGATGATAGGAAACGAAGTCAATTGTCTTTATATATGACGGAGAAGCGGAAATGATTAGAGGGCAATCAAAAATCATTGTACTGGTTAAGTGTATACAAATACCCCAAAATTGAGCTCTTAAACTCGCTTTAAAAACTAATACTTTTAGAAAAGAAACTCCATAAATGAAAGTTTTAAAAAAGCACAAGTTGAATACCATCATATGACTTTTAAACATAATAACAATAACCAGGTTATTTTCCAGTTCGCACTAATGGTATTTATGACTTTCACTCAAGTGTCAAACATAAAACTTATAAGGTACAATGAATGATCTTCATTGAGCCATAAGATCATAATCCTCATAATACTACTAGTGATGGGAAGCCTAGTTTGTTTCAGTGACCCGGGTCTTCCAGGTCATTCATTAAAATGACTCGAACATAAAGATCCGTTCATATGAATGACTAATTAGATTTTTCGTGTAAAGGTCAACTGTGTAGAGTTTAATATTGATGTTTATGAATCTTTCTGAGAGTGTATGAATTAATGATAATGTAGGACCGGTTCTTAGAGATTCCTTCATTAGAACAACTTTAATTATATTGTTGTTTACATGCAGAATCCGATATTGTTACTATAAATTTAAGAATGAAATATAGTTTAAGGCTGACATTAAGATTTGTATTTCTCAAATCTTCAGAAATCATTATAATATAAAAAAATACTTGAAAAAGTTCACAAAAATTACAAATTTCATATTGTTATGTTCATGAGTGAATGATAATATAACGCAACAATTAATATGGATTTTATTTTCTACAAATTTATAAACAGAACAGACTACAGGACTATGGACTTGACAATTCAAATGTATATAATTTTACAGTTTTGTAGCGTAAGGGTTTTGCTGTTCTGGGAAACTGAAATCAGTGTGTAAACAATCCTTTGCGGTTTGTGGTTCATGCATTAATTTGACCAAGCAACGTGTAGGGATCACACAGTTCTTTTGTAAACACTAGACAATGTCATTCATAGGCACGATTCATAGGGTTATTCAAATGGTAAGGTCACAGAATGTGATTGTATCAATCAAAGGTCTTCGAAAAGATCAGGTCTTTGTGAACGGTTCATACATGACCTTCTCACCACTAAATACTGCTAATCCACAAACTCATTCTAGTTTTATATTGTATTTAAAAAAATTTTGCAACTGTTGGACTTGACTAACTACCACTAGTCCCAATGAAGTGAATGTACCAAGAAGCTATCCGGCCAACTAGTTATTAATTACATTGCTTAATATTGAACTAAATTTTGATGATTGTACATCATTATTTTAATTATATAAACTTTATAAAGTTTAAACAATTTTACAATTTCTTTGTACAGATGAATGATTTATGCAAAAAAGTTGAAAACAAAATGTTACACTATATTGAATTTCATAAGATAATCATATTTTTTACACAACTTTCAAATGATTTCATTAAAAGTAGATACCATCACATTAGAATTAAAATAAATATGAACAACCTTTTAATAAAACATTTTTCCCTTCCATTTTAGAAAAATTATGTTCAAAAATATAAGAAAGAATGGGAGTCCATACCAGCTGTAAAACCATGGATATCAGAAAGTGTTCATGGCCCACATTATTTTTACTGTAGGTTTTGCAAAAAAGACTATAAATGTGGAAAAACAGAAGTGTTTAAACATATGAGTGCTATGAAACATAAAAAACATCTAACCAACCCCAACCAGTCAGGACAGGTAAGAATTTGCTATACAAAAGAGCACTTAATCAAATATTCATGTTTTCAAATTTTATTTATTCATTTATTTATTTCTTTATCAACGGGCAATCGCCCAGTTAAAATACAATATAAACATTATTGATAAATTACAGAAGATTCTTAACATAACCTACTTAAATTAAAGTAAAAAATTTTAATCATACAAAAAACACACATAGGAACAGTAAATAACAAACATTGACAAAGAATGTACAAAACACAGAATGTTAAATTCTCTTGGAATACTATAACAATCCAACCTTTGGGAATAATGATTAGCAAATCTTTTTGTTCTAGATGTGAATGAATTGAGTCTGTAGTTTGTGCTGTGAGGTCTAACATAAAAGGGTTGATTTAGCCTTGTTTGTCTACTGGGAACATGGAGATTAATTTTTTCCAATAGTTGGAGACCAAAAATAATAGAGTGCAGTATCCTATGAAACATTTTTGTTTAAATGCAACAAATCTTAAGAATTTGTGTTGAACTCTCTCAATAGCTTTACTATGGGTGTTATAGTGAGGAGACCAAACACATGAACAGTAATCTAGGTGGGGTCTCACAAGTGAACAATACAAATTTTTTTGGATGGGATATTTAGAAAGTCTTTAGCTCAACATTTGGTAAACCCTAAAAGTTGAAGTGATTTTGAGATAACAGATGAGATATGGGGGGTGTAGGATAAGCTGGAATTGAGCACAACACCTAGGTCTAAGATGCAGAGTCTAAAGGGCAACCATTAATAGTATTGATATGATTTGTAGAAGTTTTATTCCGACCAAAAACTATTAAATGATACTTTTTAACATTAAGTTCCATTCTGTTGCTGTCACACAAATAGCTCAACATATCCAAATCATCCTGTAGTTTTTTTATAGTCACCATCATTCTCAATTTTCAAATATAATTTTAAATCGTCATCAATCATTAGGAAAGAAGCAAAGAGGAAACAGGAGGCAATGTCATTAACATAGTTATTGAATAGAAGAGGTCCTAGGTGTGATCCTTGTGGTACTCCTGAAAGTACCTTAATTTCAAACAATTGAAAATTCTGAACATATACTATTTGTATTCTTTCAGTTAGGTAGGATAACAACCATTCTAAAAGTTCATCCCGATACCCAGACTCCTCAACTTATTGATTAAAATCTTGTGATTTACCTGGTCAAAAGCCTTTGTAAAGTCTATGTATACAGCATGAACTTGGAAGCAATTTTCAAGAGATTCTATAAGGCTGGTAGATAAAACAGCATTTTAAACAGCATTTGTCTGCTGACAAAAAGTTGCAGACAAGGCTCTCAAAAACTTTGGGAATACAACTTAGAATGTTAATAGGCTGATAACTGTTCGCTTGAGAAGTATCTCCAGATTTTAGTATTTGGGTAATAAAGCTAGTTTTCCAGTAGACCAGGAACATCCCTGTCTTTAATGACAGGTTAAAAATGTGAAAAAGAGGTCTAGAAAATAAAAAGCCAAATTGTTTAGGAAAATAAGGTGGAAGACCATCTGGACCTGGCCCCTTGTTGCTATCCAAAATGGAAAGTTTTTTATATATAGACGAATTGATGTCTTGTGTTAAAAAGGTTTCATCCTGCAAATCAAAATCTTTATCACTATAAGTTTTGGAAAAGTATTCAGCAAATAAATTGACAATCCCCATGCCAGTATAGCCAGAAATATTATTATAGTGCATAACAGAAGGAATATTATTCCATACGAAGAATGTTGCATTTCGATTTAATGCTGTCGATGATTGCTATCGATGTATCTTCCTGAATATCATTCCAGTTTTTTTAACATTAACAAATTTCCAGAAATGTTTAACATTATCTTTCAGAGAGGATTCAGTTAGAGCAACATAATCAAGATTGCATTGTTCTTTCAGTTGTTTACAGTTAGCTTGTAATAAAGAAAACTCATTATAGTCAGCAAGTAATTGAGATTTTAGATATTTGTTACCTTCTTTAACATGTTAATCTCATGTAAAACAAAATTAACCCCTTGCCACCTCGCGATTTTTTAAATTTACAATAATATTTATTTGTTTGAATATATTTGAAAAAAATTATTTCTGTAACTGTTTCTGAGAAACGAGGTTTATGCTAACTTTACAGTAAAGCTAGCATAGACATAGCTATATCTCGGCGGCATATTTTATTGCTAATTAATTGCTGTTGATTGATACATTGACCAACTCACAAAAACTTCTTTACATCAAACAGCTCTAATATCAAATCTACAAGATTTTGTTTAAATAATTTTTTCAAAATAATTTCAAAAATTACCTTTTTCACCAGGTATAAAGTTTTTTGAGTCATTCTGAAAAAAAAAGTTTGTAGTAACTTTTCTGAAAGTTAATCATTGTCGAGTTTAATAATTGTTTGAAATTTTGTAAAACGCAAAATCAATTTGCAGTATAGATTTAGAATTCTTGATTATTGTTAAGCAGATTTTACAAATTTCTCTTTTATAAATGTACTATATTTATTATATATCTATTATCTTTCAGAATAAGTTTATGTTTAGAGGATTATTATGCCCAGTTATAACACCATTTGTCAAATCCAGGTAAGTGACAATTTATTTTCCACTTATATGATTTTAATTACATTCTTTTTAGAGGAAAAGAAGTGAATTATAAATTAATAACTCCTTATGCTAAGTTTTTAAAGGCCTGTGGTGTCAAAGGAATTTTATGTAAGTATGTTTTCTGTGCTTCTTCTTTGTATACACTGGCGTCAAATAGTAGCAACCAATAAGTAAAATTTAATGCTTCATTATCCCGTCATTCAAATTTCCCATCACAAACACCAAACATTGTGACAACCAGCTACAGGTAATAATATTATACCAACACTGTCATTAACAACTTTCAATTCTTTTATTTAGTTTCAACGGGCTGCTGCCCAATAAGATGAACAATGTTTACAATGTATACAATAAAACAAAAGAATATAAGTATAAATATCACAAATTTAATCAGTTTAATTTAGTTTTATACATCAAAATGATCCTATCCAAAATGATTACCTATTCCACAGCCACTTAAATAAACACATGCCTGAGACCAGAAATGAATTCGGCTTTCGGTGCAAAAAAATCTAGATCTGGGTGAATGTTTGCCCATCTTAGTGCTGGAGATAAAAAATTATATGCATAGTTGGTTTTGTGAAAAGGAACATAAAAAGTTTGGTTTAATTGTGTTGTACATAGAGGTGCATGCAGACCAACCTGTTAATTATGCCATAAAGCATCTTTGCATTGTTAAATCATTGGTCATACAATGAGAGAATACCAAGTTGGGTTTCAATTTGATCATAATTTACTTGATTTAACTCAAAAGGTATACCCTGTTTATATGCTACATATTTTAAGAACTTGTGTTGAACGGTCTTAATTTTTGATATGTAAATAAACAGAGACCATACACAAGGACAATACTCTAGATGGGGTTTGACTAAAGAACAATATAGTAAATAAACTGCTTCAATATTCTGAATTCAACAACCGGAACAAACTTTTGTAAACACCAGCAAAAAATTCCCAAAAAAGCATGGTTTCACAAAATACCAAACAGAAACTTTGTCGCCACAATAAATCAAGTATGTGCTAATCATGCACTAACACCCTATTATAATCACAAAATAAAATTACAGACGATCCATGTTGTATTTGTGGTAAAATGGGTACATTAGTACATGTTTTACTTGAATGTCCAATAAATGTAAACATTAATAAACTATATAAAAACTTAATTTACTACAAGATAAACCTTCCAATAAATCTAAATTGTATTATTGTTTCAGGAAATAATGATATCCTTTATGTACTTCATCAACACATCATAAACTGTAAAATTACTAACCAATTTTGTAAGCAATTCTGCGAAAGAAACTAAATGTAAAACATATAGGGAAAATATAGGGCTGAAACCTCCGAGGGGATGAACTGGGTTGACGCTCTAGCGCGAATATATATATATATATATATATATATATATGCATTTGCTACCCATACACCTCCGATTGCTATATCCTTAGTTCGAGTTTACCTCCGATTTTACGAGTTCGCCTCCGAAATCGGAGGCGAAAACGTACAGTCATGTTTCTTGTTCATTTAGTTGCTAACTCATCTATATCAAGCGTTTGCCAATTTTTTAACTAGAGGCAAAATCGAGTCAAAATCATCTCTCGATATACATTTTAGTTCACCGTATCTGGCGTCAGAGGCGCAGCTTGTTACACGTGTATACTCTGTCGTTACCCAAAGGTAGTTGGCGCCTCCGATATATACGCTATGTTCAGCGGTTCACTTCACCTCTTAGCGGTGGCAACATCGCAATCATTTAATAGCGTAATGTAGTCGGGACCTGATATATAATAATTATTATGAATAGGTAGTCATAAGAAACTAGAACGCTAATATTTATTGTTTTACTTTTCCGCACCGTGATAGAAAATTTCATGCAATTTAACTAAATTCGTATAGTTACGAGGTAATCTTAAATTTATCAGATCCTAGGTAGATATCTATTTTATCTATTTATAAAATAGTGTTAGTTTTCATGCTTGTGATTTAAATTAGAAAGTCTAAAAGGACAAGTTTTAACTTTTTCTCCTGGTACATTGCTTTAATAGTAATAGCACATACATTATTATAAAGCATACTTTTACTCTACTAAACGTACTTTACAATTTTATATTTTATTAACATTGTCCTTATTCTTATTGCTTTATTTTGATATTAATGTTGCTCATATTATGCATACAGTTTTTTTTAAACTTCTGTACGTTGTTGGGTTTATCTAAAAAATCGGCGCGCACAACTGGCAAAAGTGTTTGCATACGTATCTCTCTGAACTGACAACATTTTACGTTGTGAATAAATATGCTAGCTCCCATGCTTATCCTTCCCAATCCCTTTTGGGATTTGGTGGCACCATCAGGATTTTATAGTCTTTTTACGATTTCTTTCCATTCTTTCCGGTCCTGGGTAGTTGTTTGGCGTCATGTAACCCTTGGTTAATCAGTGTTTCTATTTGATACACCCAACGGCTTGGAGATCTTCTCCAAGATGTTTTTCCTTTAAATCTGCCACCGATTATAAGTTTTTTGATTGTGCCTGTTCTTCTAGCAATGTGTCCAAAATACTGCTAATATCTCTGTTGTATTTGTTTAAGCAATATATATTTTAAATAATTGATGGATTCGATCTTTACTTAATGGAAATTTATTTTATGTAACAATAAAACACTGAAAACTTTGTTTTCAAACTTCCCCAAAATTTATTTTAAACTCTTATCACTACAGCTGTTTCGGCGAATTGACTTTCTCAAGTGATCTTTTTTTGGCATGCGTTTACACTTTATAATCTCTAATGAAATGGGTTGAGGAGGGGAGAACTGTTTGCCTCAACTTGGTCATTCAGAATTATATCTGTGTTTTTGAACTTGTTGATTTCCATAGATTCTAACAAGGATAGCTTAAGGCCTTTATTTTGAATGTGAAGAATTTTAAATTCGTCATTAAAAGAATGATTGTGATCTGGAAGGTGAAGTGCGTATGTAGAATCTGTTTTTCTATTATTGAAAGCCTTTTTATGTTTCGCTATTCGTTTATTAAAATTTCTACCAGTTTGACCGATATAAGTTTTTGGACAGTCGCCACATATAAGTTTGTACATACCACTGTGTAAGTGTTTTTTATTTTGGCTCTTGTTGTTTTTAATATATTTGCCTAGGTAGTTATTTGTTCGGAAAGCTGGTGTTATTCCTTTCTTTTTTATGTGTTTGGCTATTTTTGTTAATATTTTACTTGTATATGTAATCGAGCAGAAGGTACTGGGTTTTTTCTCTGGTGGTGGAAATACTAATTTCAGGGCTTTCTTGTGTAGTTTTTGATTTAACATTTTATTAAATGTTTGTTTGTTGTATCCGTTGTTTACTGCTATTTGCTTAATGATATTTAATTGTCTCAAAGTTGTATTTTGACATCGGAATTTCTGTGAATCTATGTAACATACTATGATAGGCTGCCAGTTTATGTTGTGTTAGATGGGATGATGAATTGTGTATAGTCGTGTCAGCATGGGTAAGTTTATGAAATATGGAGAAGTAATGTTTGTTTTTAAGTCTGATAATTTTTAAATCTAAAAAATTTATGGATTGATTTTGTTCTGTTTTTACTGTAAATTCAATATTCAATTCAATATTCGAATGTTTACATTTTCAATTACCTAACAACCCCAGATTAATTTCATTTAACGTAAAAAATCTTTTTTCTAGTATCCCTCCTACAGAAACTTATATTATAGTAAAAAACTTTTTAGACCAAAATAGTACAAATCCAATAATTACATCTGAAATTTTACATCTTCTTGAAGTTTGCATAAACCAGGACTACTTTGATTTTAATAATCAAATATATACAAATAACAGTGCAGGACTTATAATGGGCAATCATCTAACCCCATTGCTATCAGATATTTTTGTGGATCATCTAGAGATAAAGATTTCAAAACTTCCCGTATTTAAACAGTTTTTATATTCGTGGAGATTCGTAGACGACGTACTGGTATGTTTCACAGGAACTAACAGGCAACTTGATCAATTTTTATCGTATATTAATTCACTTCATAATCATATTAAATTTACAATAGAAACAGAAAATCAATCCATAAATTTTTTGGATTTAAAAATTATCAGACTTAAAATCAAAGATGACTTCTCCATATTTCATAAACCTACCCATACTAACACGACTATACCAAATTCATCATCCCATTAAACACAACATAAACTGGTAGCCTCTCATAGTATGTTACATAGATTAACAGAAATTCCGATGTCAAAATACAACTTTGAGACAGACTTATATATCATTAAGCAAATAGCTAATGACGATATTTCAAAACTCCACTGACTATTCACTAACAACTTGAATCTCTTCATTTTTTTAGTTTTGCGTCTTTATCGTTACAAAAAATATAGGGGTGATCTTTCATTAACAAATGACCACACAAATCACATATTTGCTTTAGTGTAGTTCCCAAATACATGGCCAAAATTTGAAGCTTTATAGATTTTAGTTTGCTGGTTGTAGCCGCTTATTAGTCTTGTACTTGCTTGCTACAACGGTATCAAAGAGGATAGGGTTTAATATGTCAAAAAAGGTAAATTTTTCTTCTCGGTATGTCGGCGCATTTCAATTAGTAATCTAGAGCATTCCCTTATTTTATTAGAGCAAGCGACCAAAATTTGAGCGCGCTTATGTTTTTGTGGTTGAAAATTTCTGTTGTTGGAAAACTTTTGTTTAATTTATTTTCATATTATTTATGTTAAAAGTTGTAGTACAACATTCAATTTATTAATTTTTAATATAGATATTTTTCGCAATCAACATGTTTCAAACGAATGAGCGTATTTACTGTGAGGCACTGTCTGTAACTCGTTAGCAAGTTCCAATTAAAATCCTCCCTCTTGTTCGGGGTACCTTAGCCCTCATTGTTTGATTTATTGAAGACAATAAGGTAATAATAATTGAAATTATAATCTAAATTACCATTAGATATTTTTAAACTTACCTTTTTTTAATCCTGTCAGTTCTGACATATTTATAAAAGTATTTAAATAGGTAAATTGTGTATTGTGTATAATCACACTGTATTGAGAAATGAGACAAAGTTCGACCAGCTTGTTCATCGCCGAAAAAAAGTCATGGAACTCGGAAAACAATCGGACGAAAGCAATTCCGAATTAATAATCTTTATCAATACCAAAACTATTAAAAAATAACAGAGAAGGTAAAACACAACAAAATGTTGCGAAGATTATAAAGAAAAACCTAACAACTGTACAATACATAATAAAAAGACGAAAAGAAAGTGCAAATAAATTTTAAACTAGAAATACGAAAAAGTTACGTATGAATTAGAATGTCGCGATCACTATAATATCGCGATAAATTTGGCAACATCTACAGAGGTGGAACCGCACTTGCAACATCATATAAAATATACAAATGAGACCAAAGAGTACGTTCAGTGTATGGAGGCAAACAAGAACTACACAAATAAAATAACTGTATAAAATTAGGTTAATAAATATTTACCCCTCTTTCTTTGCCTTTATAATATACATCAAAATAAGATTAATGATGCATTATATGTGCATATACTCCCTCTAGTTTTGGTGGAGGGAGGGACGTCTGTTGTATGTACGGAGGCAAAAAGGATACAAATGCACATATATATATATATATATATATATATATATATATATATATACTAGTTAAAAAAAAATTAAACACCTTACTATTACTAACAAAACAAATAAATACAACATACTCAGGTTTGATACTATGAAACTTAATTCACACAATTTTACACAAACTAATGATTCAATGTAACATAGTCTGGCTAATTGGCTAAATCTCTTGAATCTTTTTATAAAGCCAAGCATTTGTAAAGATTTGGAAATTATTGATTAGAGTCTAAATTAATTCCCAGATCACGAATTTCGGTAACCCAGTCAACAAGAATGTTTTATATATTATAATTATAGTCCATTGGGTCTCTCGATCGTTCAAAAGAAACAGCATGACACTTGGATGCGTTCAGGGCCATGGCATTCAACACACACCACTCACTCAACCAATCGAGATCATATTGAAGATTGACAAAATCTTCTGTATTATTGATAATTGTGTAGAACTTTAGATCGTCCGCAAAAAGAAGAGGTGAACTGTGCTGGAAGCAGTGGTGTATATCATTGATGAATATGTTAAATAACAGGGGTTGCAAATGAGAACCCTGGGGTACTCCTGAATGAATCTTAATCTGACAGGAAACAAGATCCCTGATACTCACCATCTGAACTTGGCCAATCAAGTATGTTCTCAGCCATCTTAGAAGCATTAAATTTTTTCTTGACTGTACAGTCAAGAAAAGTATAGACTCTACATAAAGTCATTTTGGTAGTATACAGTTGGTATATATAATAAATCAGTGCAAATCCTTGCCTATGCTAATGATATCAATATTGTTGGGAGAACTTGCTGCTATGGTCGGCCATATTGTTCAGTAAATATTATAAATAAGTAAGTATTTATAAGTAAATGTGTTTTAGTGAATGATGTCACTGGGGAAGGTATGTCATTGACACCAGAAGAAAGGAAACAGCTGGCAGAATTTTGGTACGAAATTTGTAAAGAAAAAAATCAGTTTTTAATGGTACAAGTTGGAGGAGCACCTTTGAAAAGTGTGATAGACATGGTTAGTTTTTTTCTTAGTTTAGGTATAAATTATTGTATAATTTAATTTATTTTTGACTACAAAGTGTTACTTAAAAAAGGTGGTTACTAATGGTCGTTAATTTTATAACATTAAACCTTTTCTTTTAAATTGAATTATCTTGTTGGTGTGTGTGTGTGTGTCATTCGTATATTTAAAATCTCTTTGTGTTGGTTGTGTATGTGTTATGTTATATGTATCAGTGTAATTTTATGCTGGTCTGATCTTGAATTCTTTTCATTTTAACTCTAAACTATTGTCCTTCCAAGAATCCAAGAGCCAACTTTTCTGAAATGTGTGATTGAACATTAGAATTACAAATAATAAGAGAAATATTAGAAATTCCACTTAAGGAGCTCAAAACCATACGAATTAAAGATTTTTGTTAATAAAGCTTTAATTTCCAATTACAGTAATCTGCGTAACATAAAGATATGTATGTGCTAAATATATTAACATGTTATGTAAATTATAGATGCAGTAATTTCCAATTTATTTAATTTTAGGCCATTCATGCTGAAAAATTGAAAGTAGGAGCGATTGTTCTAATGGCTGATTTATATCATAAACCAAAAAATCATCTAGATTTAATAAGATATATCAAGATTATATCAGAGTACACCGAAAAAATTCCTATATTATATCATCATTATCCAAAGTATACTCAACTGTATAACAGTAAGTGCACATATTTGTATTTATACTTAAAAAAAAAAGAAAAAAATACTTCATTCCATGGACCTATAAACATAGATGGACACAGCAATAAGATACCTTTAACACACAATGTTTTGAAGCTTCGATAGAATGTGATGCTTCCGCAATGAGCATAAGCGTGCTTGAATTTTTACTCGCGGGTAATTATTCAGATTTTAAAAATTGGAAGTAGTAACAATGTATAAAAACACGTTCAAAGAATTTTAAAAAACGAGAGTTTAACTATTAACAAATCACGCCTTTATAGAAAAATTAAATTACAATTTTATTTGATTTAAAATTAATACAATTAAATATAGTTGAATTCAAGTTAATTTTTTAATAGGTATCAAAATAATGCTACAATAAAAAGTCTTTATGTTTTCTCCTAAATTTGCTACCCAAATAGTTCGATCTTCAATATTATTTGGAAACCTACATAGAAAAATAAATGAGTTTTATTCATTTCACTAATTTATTTGTGTCCATGAGAAATATTAAATTAAAAAGGTACTAAACAGATCTTTTTTAATCAGATGATGTCTACTTACAATTTAAAAATGTGTACTAATTTCATGAACTCATATCTTACTCAATACATTAATGAACATGAATAAACCCAATGGTACGCCTATTAAAATGTAAACAAACACGCTTCCTCATTTCCTCATCTTAAATAATGTAAATTGTATGTACTTACAAATGAAATGAGAGATCGAGATGTAAATATTTCGTTTATTTTATTTCACTTTTCACAAATATCACTCAAAATATAACCAAAATATCGAAAAACAAGTTTTCCTCATCTACTGTAAAAAGTAAACAAACATGAAACAGCATTTGAAGTTTGACGTAGATCCATAAGAGAGAGAAATGTAAACAACCGTTGCCATTTATAAATAGTTTTCAGTGCTTCTACATATAAAATAATTTATTGATATCTATTATACGCTATTATTAAATGATAATGCACACTATGTGCGCACTTGATATTTTGATTACAATTAAATATATTAATCTAACCAATAAATTATTATTTTGGTTTGATAGCACCTGTAGAGTATAAAATACGGTGTAATATTTTCAGCGACTCGCGAATAAGAAATTTTAAAACAAAACGTGACAACAGTTGAAGGTGCTGAGAATGTGACCTATTCAAATAATTTTGACTACACAATTTTATGTAAATATCTGAGTCCATCTGTGTTTATACGTCCATGCTTCATTCTATAAATATGTTTATTACAAATGATACTTTTTACATTTTTTTTTTGGTTAATGTATTTTCCTTTTTATTTTTCAGTTGATATGACTGCATTTTTATTAGATATAACGGGGGAAGTGGAACAATTTGTTGGTGTGATTTATACGACCAACGATTTACAGGATGGATTAACAGCACTTACTCTAAATCCTGATAAATATGTGGTATTTATGGGAACTGATGAGGTAAGTTGTTGACAATTAATTTATTAAAGTTATCTTCACTGAGAAAATTAATAAGACACTGCTATATAGAGAACAAGTAATTTTCTACATTAAAGGATATCAAATGTAGTTCATTGATGCTTCAAAAACAGTTTATGGAAGCAAATTAGAGTTTGTGGTACAGGCAAGTAAGGTTATTAAATGTCCCAGGCATAGATTTCCCTCATGAATATGATTTGTAATCGGGTGTCGCTATCTCTTTTATTGAAACAGTCGGGACGTGCTTCGATCTAAATGGCTTAGTAATCCTTGGTTTGTAGAAGTAGCTAAAGACTAACCAATTCTAAGCTAAAGACGACCTTTCTTTGCCTGTACAGGACAGAACCTTCAATGGGACCGAAACCAGGCTCGAGGAAGCACATAGAAACCTTACTGTTTACTTCGATAGAAACTCGCTAAAGCCTAACCCCACCAAAACCCAAGTCTGATCTTTCCACCTAAGATCTAGAGAGGCGAAAAGAAAGCTGAAGATCAGGTGGAGCAGACACCAAATGGAACAAGCAGAATATCCAATATACCGAAAAGTAAAGTTAGAGAGAAAATTAACTTATAAAGCACACTGCCAAGAACCCGTATCCCCTAGTCAAGGTAGTATCCCGTAACAATCTAATTCACAAACTCCACTAATCTAAATGTGGCGCCCAGACAAACATCCACCGAACTATATCAAAAGGTCTCAGTTTCTCCATCGGCAAGTAAACACGCTCTGTCTGGGGTAGATCGACACTGTGAGGACCAGAAACCGCTGCTGGGAAGAAAAATCTGGCACGATGGGGCCAGTTCGATGAAAATGACATCTTGTCAACTTGTGCGGCCAACGACAGGACATGGAACAGTGCAACCAATGGTTCGATTCTGAGCCGAACACCGAAAATAATCACGCTTGGACACGAAAAAGTGAAGTAAGTGTAGAAATGGATAAGGAGGATAGTTGTGAATCGCAAAATCAAGTTTGTGACCTGTAGGAATTTTGAAGTTTGTGATAACACTTTGATTGTAGTCAATACGAATACTTTTAACGACGAATAACTGGAATAACTGGATCAACTGCTTCCCAGCGAATAATTTGATGAATTGACGAACACTATTTCAATTTTGCTCTTGTAAACAGGCAGCTGGACATGTTTTATCGTCTTAGTAACAGCAGATAAGTCAGAAATTAAGAAAAAATATAATAGTTCCACAAAAACTTTTCAAGAAACACCTACATTGACAAAGGTATCCTCTAGCAAGTGAGGCATCTATCTCCTCTAAATTAGAATTCGATCTGACTTCCCATCCCGACTGCCAAATGCAGTCATGACTCCTCTCCCTGCGCCTATCGCCGGTGAAAATTTAATTCAAACACAATTTTCTTCGATGTTGTATCTTAAGCGGGCTATATTAACAAACATTTGTATTATGCTTACTCTCATCCAAAATTCTAAGATAAAATTTTTGAAGTTCTCTTCGAAGATTTTAAGACGTGACTCGAAATGTTAAAAAAACCTAAGAGGATATTTTTGTGATAAATCTTACTCATTGAGTTATAAATTTAGTTGCAGTTAAATTGTCTTTTTATTATTGATAATCACATTCTATCTATTTGAAGGTGATGCTAGGTGCTGTAGCTAGTGGATTTACCTGCATTATGGGTAACAGTATTAACATTTTACCTAAACTGGCTGAATCCATTTGCCAGTGTATAAAAGAAGGAGAAATAAAGAGCGCTCAGGCTTCCCAAAACCTTCTAAAGAAAGCTATTGACAATATTTATTGTAATGGTAAGTTAATTTTTACATTTTATTAGGATAAAATTGTTGTTCATGATTTGCCAAATACGAATTTTTTTTGCTTTTCTGTAAAATAATATTTTAGTCGGTTAAATTTAAAAATATTTGTTCAATTGGTCAGTTTTGATATTTCGCGATAGTGGACGCCTCCAATGATTTTTATATACGATAAAAAAGCTGTGTGGATTTCTTTAACAAAGAACTTTAATTTCTAAAGGTAAATGCAGTCCAAAGTCAAAGCACAAATGGAGTTAACATTATTGGAATGCAGGGTGGTATGAGCGTATTCGTCTCGGCACAAATCAATAATGCCAACGGTTAAGATCGGGTATAAAAACGGATCCAAGCCTCAGAGACTGTCGTTGACATTATATTCGTATTCAGCGATCCCAAAAACCCTTGAGTAATGGGTTTACACTGATATTGTATCGAATCTCCACAAAACTCCAGGAGACGAGGTCCATCCGTGGGTACCAGGTGCCTCAGTGACCATTGCCGTCATGATGTTCATGTTCAGAGACCCCAAAAAACACAGAGTAACGAGTTTGCACTTATGTATTGAATTTCCATAAAACTCCAGGAGATGAGGCCCATTCTGGGTACCAGGTGCATCGGAGACCATCGTCGTCATGATATTCGTGTTCAATGACCCCAAAAAACACCGAGGAGTAATATTGAACTCTTTTCCGTAAATTATTTCCGATTTACAAACTTATTGTTTTGCATTACTGCGTAAAAATGTATTTTCCTTATCCAATAATACAATTTTCATATTCACGTCATCATTTTTGTTCACAAAATTTTCTGGTACTCATACAAATCAGATGCAATAAGTTTAAGGCGGTTAAAATACGCTGTGAAACACAAGATAACAATTTCAGTGACTGGTATCAATGAGCCTCCATTATTAAAGTTCTGTTTCAAAATATTGAGTTAGTGAACACACAAGTACAAGTTTCTTACATACACTATTCAGTTGTTTTGGCACTTTTTTAAAGAAATACAATAAATTCGGTAATGACACCAACAAATCCTGTCTGCCATTTGCATTTCATCAATTAAAGATGAATTAACTGCTTTCTCAATGGTATTTAATGTAAATTATTGTTTTTTGAATAATATAATGTATATGAATAAATATAATTCTAAAAATTTTGTTAGTGAATTTCTAAGATAGTTAGTTGAACTATATACTCATAATGATATTTTTAGGTGATATGGTGGCCACTCTAAAAGCTGCTATTAGTATAATGACCAATTTGGCAGTGGAAACTGTAAGGGAGCCACTGCAAACCGTATGGGAGGGAACCATTACGAAAATGAAGAATAAATTACACGAAATTGGAATTATATAAGATATTTTTATCCTAAAATTTTCTAAGACTTTTATATTTTTAGTTATATTTAAAAGTTAATATAGAATAAATTTGTAAATAAAGAAAATAATTAAGTTGTACTGGAAATGTGGTTTGATTAAATCTTTTAATTCCCTTATGAAATTGAAACTTATGTTTTAACAGGAACGAAGATACAACATCAGAAGCCTAGATGAAGAAAGTACCCAAGACTTATTCAAAAATAGATTGGATGAGAAATTACAAATTCCTGTCCCTAAGAATATCGACCAGTTATATGAACATATAAAAAACTGTTTACACGAAGCAGCATTTGAAGCAATGGAATATTACATAAAACCCAAACCATGCTGGTGGGATAACGAAATAGAGGAAGAAATAAAATCTAAAAGACAACTATACCAACAATATTTATGGTATTACAATGGTAATTCATTCATTAAACATTTTGAAATTGATTTAAATTTAAAAGAAAATGTACAACCCATTTTTCATAGAGCCTATGATATGCCTTTTGCACTAAAGATAAAGTCGAATGGAAGAAGAAATAAGCCCATATCTTCCCAGAGATGAAACAATCACGAATTGCAATATTAAAAGACGCTTCGGAAAATTAGTAAAAGCTCCCATTAACTTTGATCTCTAACGAGGGAGGAGATGTTATATATTAATCCTGCATCGGAAAATTAGACAGGCTTGAGTGAGGTTATGTCTTGTCAATGGGCAGCTCCGAATGTCCAACACAGACCACTTTGAAAAATCATCCATTGCGACCATTAAGTACTTGTTTCTTCTCTGGCATCGAGAATATCCACCGCAAGTCGTTGAAAGGCTCTCCGGTAAGATATTGTGCCATTTTACCACGACAATGGTCTTTTCTACCGTTACATAAATCGCATTTTTTACACCAACCTTATAGATCTCAGCAACAATTGATCCAGTAAAATCTATCTCACTCTGGCCAGTATTCCTTTGCCTCCAAAATGTCTTCCAGGAAGGCTACTATGAAGTTCTTGCAACGCACTTTTAATGTGTGATTTTGGCAGTAGGTACCACTTGTTGAACTGTACGTAATCCAGCAGTACTTTCCCACTTTATATATAATAGACCATTGTAAAGATACAGATATTCCAATTGAGCCCAGTACGCCTTTATAATTCTATTGTATTTGGTTATTTCCTGTCAAATAGATCTTTCTTCATGTTTAAGCCATTCTGGTACGACTTTTAAGTTATTATCTTTCTTTTAACGTTTTGCAGGGAAGTCTGATTATTATCTTCTTCCTGTTTAACTGTGGTTACCTGAAGATTTACTTCTTCGGTTATGTTTTCTTAATCTTCAAGTCTTTTACAGTACTGGCATTGTCGTTACAAATAGGGTCATCTAGAAAGAACATCCGCATTGTTATGGAGATGCCCTTTTCGATGTATTACGCCGAGCCACTGCAAAGCGCTATGGTCAGTTCTAATTATAAAAGTTCTGTTATAAAGGAAAGTATAAAAATGTTCTTATAAAAGGGCTTTTATAGTAGATATGAGCTCTTTTTTGGTAACGCAATAATTCTTTTCAGCCTTCCTATCAATAACTTTTTCTTCGCCTTCCTGTTCTTGTGTCAATACGACGCCAATGACATGCTGAGATGCGTAACAATCCAACAGAAACCTTTCATCTTCTCGTTGAAAGACTAAAATAGGTGCTGTTGTAAGTCGTTTTTTAAAATCTACAAAGGTATTTTGATAATCCGATGTCCAGTCAAATTCAATGTTTTTTTCTGTTAGTCGATAAATTACCTTGGCGATTCGGCCAAAAATCTTTAATAAAGTTTCCTTAATAAGAACAGAGTCCCAGAAAACTTCCATTTTCCACTATAATAGCACGACTTTCTTTGAAATAGTGAACATTTCTAATAATTTAAACAGAATAAATAATCTAAAATATGTTTTTCTTTTAATTTTATATTGGCCTTCCTATTTATTACCTAACCCACGAGCCGCCTCTGGTAAACGGTACATTTGAAAAATATGCGCGAAAAAGTATCATAAGAAAATATCTACTTTTATGATTGTAGCCAAGTAGTAGGCAACCAACATAACATTCCCCATAAAGAGGTTAAGAAGACAGTCATCTTACCTAGGCGACAAGACAAGGTGAAATCAAAACATGATCGGCTCCCTTCCTGCTGCTGTGTACACACGGATACCGTTATGCATATGGAATTCAGATTATCTTTTATTTTACCGTCCTCAAAATGACCTTATTTTATTCCATAATAGTTTTTTGAACTAGGTGCCAAGTTATGACAGATAGTGATATGAATCTAGTCGAAGAAGAAAATAAAGATGAAAAAATTGCTAAGGTCAGTTTCACACTTAAATAATATTTGTACGTACAGGTTAACGAACAATATAGAAAGTGGACTTTTACCATTTTTTGATTAAAATTGATATGGTTTTGTATAAATTTTAGTGAAATTGCTTAGTAGAAAGTTGTAAGAAATACATTATCTTAGCTACTAGAACTACTACTACTACTCTTTAGAACCATAATTTGTTTTTAATTGTTAAATGCATCTATTCGTTTCACGAAATTTCAATAAATAACATTATGTTTTTTTGTTAATAGTGGATCAAGTTTCATTTGCACAATAAATGCAATCCTATAACAAAAAATACCGACATAATTAATACATAATCACAGTAACTGTGCCGCTTCATTTTTAAATTCAAATATCTAGAAAAATAATGACTTTATCGTTACAAATAAAGAGTAAATTATTTACATAGACTCTTTACGAGACTTTACATATGTTCGTCTCGAATATTATTAACGTGATTAAACTGTTAATATGCATTAACATTCTAAAATTTATAATCAATGATGTTAAACCGTTGTTAACAAGTTACGAAAGTATTAACAGCGTGGTCAAAATATACTGAAAAATCAGAAACAGGTGATAAAATTGGTGATATCATTTCACAAACAGTCTTTTACTCATTGCTTTTATAAGTATCACTTATTTTTATAATGGATATCCCAAAATTTACACAAACTTTGAATTTAATCAACCATATCACTATTGATAGTAGTGAAAACGCACCAATTTCTCTTTTTCTTTGACGTACAGTTCCTTTCAATCCCGCTGGTACTCGTATTATGTTTTTTTTTGCTTTGTCTTGGAACGTGGCAAAACTTTTATACCACTTACTTGTTTTATCGTTTCCAATGAATTCGTCTTCAACGTTTTCGTAAAACACGTCCCCCTCATCTGACATATCTTGCTCTGATCATGTATCGTCTTGGTTCTCCGCAGTTTGTTGCTTATCCAAATCAGTATCACTCTCCAATATCTCATTTCTAATTTTCCTCTAATTGTGCTTGGGTTAACACTTCCTTTGTATTTTTTACAAGACTTGGCGTAAATTGGAATTATAAAATATGATATAATCTAGATAGAATTCTACAATATTCTTATATGTTTCATGTAAATATAATTATTATTTTTATAAATAAATTACTTACGAATAAAATTTCAATTTCTCGAAATATACATATAATATATTAACTTTGAAAAATAAGGCTATTATCGAGCACAAGTTAATTTAATCTAGCCCAAGTACTTTCGCTTAAAATAGCATCTTCAAGAGCATCTGAAATAAGCCAAGAAAACGTTTTTTAGATGAAGGAAATTCGAGTTTTTTATCGAAGTTAACTAATTTCCTTCATAAAAAAAAAACGCTTTCCTGGCTTACTTCAGATGCCCCTGAAGATGCTATTTTAAGCGAAAGTACTTGGGCTAGATTTAATTAACTTGTGCTCGATAATAGCCTTATTTTTCAAAGTTCATTTATTCGAGCATTCAACCTCATTTCAATTATAATATATTATTTGTTTCAAATGAGTTTTTGCGCGATTTTCATCACCAAACGACTTACTCAAGCAGTAATTGATTTTTTTAAGGGCTGTATGGCGCGTGGCTCTGTCTTGTCGAAACTACAAGCCGTCCACATCATTATCATCCAATTTGTATGTATATAGTAATAAGTATGTTGGAACAACAATAACTAAAGACAATAATGGATCACAAGAAATAAACAACAGGATTCAGGCCGGCAACAGTTGTTTTTTTGCCCTCCAAAACCTTATAAAATCGAAACAACTAACAAGGCGTACGCAGATACAGGTCTATAAAACAATCATACGACCCGTTGTGATGTATGGAAGCGAAACGTGGACGATAACAAAGGCAAACGAAGAGAGACTATGTGTTTGGAAAAGAAAAATCCTAAGGAAGATCTTTAGCCCTGTACTGGATGAAGCATCAGGAGAATATAGGATAAGAACTAACAAAGAGCTGGAAGAACTTTATCCAGACGCCAACATCATAAAATAAATAAAGTCCAGAAGACTACAATGGCAGGACATCTCAGAAGACATTCTGAGAACGAACGAACAGTAAGACTGGTGTGGGAGGAAGTCCCAACTGGAAGGAGACCATGCGGACGCCCTCCTCTGCGGTGGCGAGATAATATAGCAGGAGACCTAAGCACTATGGACGAGGAGAATTGCTCAAGGTGGAAAACAGTAGAGGCATGTTGTCGAGTCGGCTAAAACCCAAGAAGGGTTGTAACGCCACGGAGTAAGGAAGTATGGTCTATTGATGCCTTCAGCCCAAAATCCACACCAAACAGTGGCTTGTTGTGAACGCTTTTTGTTAAGCGAAGCTTCTATACTGGCGTTGTATTAATGTTACTCTATAGTAAAATGCTGGGAAAAGAGTCACGAGTAACGTCACGATATAGCAGTCTTCACATCGATTCACTACTCTTCGTCAATTTTTCGTTTCTAAACATCATATTAATGAATTTTATTATTATTAATTTTACTAATAATTTAATATTTAGTCTGACTTTTCATTATTAATTTAATATTTAGTCTGACTTTGAAGGGTCTGTCAGAAATAAACAACGTTTACTTTGTTGATACGTTAGTAGGTGGCGCTGGGGGAAAACATACATAAACAAAATTTATTAAATTATTTTAATATAATATTATTAATAAATTATCACGCCGCTGTTGCTGGTGCTATCCAATTATCCTTGGTCAATATATTCGAATCGTATGATTTCACAATGCACGTTAATTCTCATACTTCTTCTTCTTCTTCTTCAGATGCAAATCCACTAATGGATGTCACATTTTCCATTAATTCTCTATTTCTTGCAATATGTATCATAGATTGTATGTCGTTAATCCCTGTCCATTGCCTTATGTTTCGGAGCCAGGACATTTTCTTGCGTCCCATTCCTCTCTTGCCTTCAATTTTACCCTCGATTATAAGTTGGAGGAACTGGTATTTTTCATTTCGCATGATGTGACCTAGATACGCCGTTTTCTTTTTCTTGATGGTTTCGAAAAGTTGGCTTTCTTTGTTTATTCTTTTAAGGACATCTATATTTGTGATTTTCGATGTCCATGGTATTTTTAGGATACGGCGACAGAGCCACATTTCGAAAGCTTCTAATCTGTTTATAACCCTCGTTTTAAGTGTCCAGCCCTCTACGCCATATAGCAACACTTAGTAAACCTTAGTCTCAGTTGAAGATCGAACTCTGAACAAGTCAGTACCTTCTTTAATTTTACGAAAGCTTGTTGAGCTTGCTCAATGTGACATTTTACTTCCCTGTCCGATGCCCAGTCTTCGCCACGATCCCAGGTATTTAAATTTACTCACTCTTTCAATGGACTTAGTATTCAGTGTTATGGTGGAGTTTTCAAGTGCATCCAAGTTTCTGGAGATGATCATAAATTTGGTTTTTCTGGTATTAATCTCTAATCCCATTCACTTACTGTATTCTCTGATTATAGTGACAAGTTGTTGAAGATCGACTATGTTGTCACAAATTAAGACACCATCATCAGCATATCGTATGTTGTTGATCATTACTCCATTCACTTTGATTCTCATCTTTGCATCCTCCAAAGACTCTTAAAATATGGCTTCCGAATAAATGTTAAATAAAAGAGGGGAAAGCACACATCCCTGTCGAACGCCCCTTCTTATATGTATGGGTTTGGATATAGAATTGTCTATTTTTAACTGTGCCGTTTGATGCCAGTACAAGTTTTCAACGCATCTTATGTCTTTTTGGTCTATATCAACTTTCTTGAGGATCTGCATTAACTTGTGGTGTTGGACACGATCAAACGCTTTTTGGTAATCTAATAAGCATAGGAACACATCCTTCTTCTGATCGTATCAATTTTGGACCAGCACCTGTGTTGCTACTATTGCTTCTCGCGTTCCTAAACCCGAACTGGGAATCACTGATGTCCCATTCACATTTTTTGTATAATCTTTGATGTAGTATTTTTAAGAATATCTTTAAAGTGTGACTCATCAGGCTAATGAGTCTGTGATCCTCACATCTTTTTGCATTGACTTTCTTGCGCAGGGGAATAAAGGTAGAGCGTAACCACTGTTGAGGATAGCAGCCAGTTTCATAAATTAAGTTAAATATTTTGTGTAGTGCTGAAATTCCCCTTTCATCCAGTAATTTGAGTATTTCTGACGGGATTTCATCTGGTCCAGGTGCCTTATTGTTTTTTGAATTTAATATTGCCTTTTCTATCTCCTCTTTGGTGATTGAAGGGCCAGTCAGCTGGTCGTCTGTATAAACTTCACTCATGGGTCTTTCGTCATGGAAGAGCTCCTGGATATAATTTTCCATATATCTCCTACAAGAATTACTAAAGCAACATCTAGCGTAATTGATTATATTGTCTCAGATTTCTCAACCCTTGATGTACGCTCTACAATTATTAAGAATTAGGAAGAATTAGGTGATCTATAAATGCAATAATAATGTATAGATTAAAATTCTTGGTATAAACAAATGAAAACTCAAAAAAAGATTCATTTAACAGAAAGTCATATTTTGGTATAGGAGAGAAATCATTAGAATTAAATTTGACCTAGATTTAATGTCCCTGCAACTGCTAAGCATAAAATAGTAAATTTTCAATAAAAAGAACTTATTAATATATTTTGACATAACAAAATAACAAAAAGAGTTACTATGTTACATAATAGTACTATACTCTTTTTGTAAATGTGGACCCTAAAAAAGTGTTGAATGCAATTTGGGAGAGAAAGTAGATATATGTGTGGTAACTTTTTCGCACTCTTCTAGACGAGCAGTTTAATAAAAACTGCTTATTATATATAACAGTCAATCACGAACACATTAACTAAATCGATGTATGTGTATCATTCTTGAAATTGCACGATGCCAATCAATGAAACTTGTTACAAATTTGTTGGAGTGTGTCGTAATGTTTTACTTTCGGACAGTTTGA